CGATCGTGCTGGACTCCCAGACGGCTCGGGAGGGCTCCAAGAAAGCTCCCAGCGAGCACCCAGCAGTGGCACCCAGGAGGGCCCTTTGGGTGCCACTGTCAGAAGGCGCTCTGGAGCCGCTCTTGGGCTTCTATCGGGAGCCTTTCGGAATCTCCTGAGGAGCCCAAGAGGAGCCCAAGAGCAGCTTGTTGGCCCTCTTGGAACCAATGACACCCCGATCGTGGCACCCACGAGCCCTTCTTGGGTGCCAGTCGGGTGGCCTTGGGGGGGGCCCTCCTGGGGTCCTCTTGGGCCCCCTCTGGTCTACTCTCGAGGCCCCGTTGGGCTTCTCTCAGGGCCCTGGTGGGGCCGATCTGGGAAACCAGGCAGAGCAAGGTGACCGAGAAACTCTCTCAGCCACCCGTCGGGCCGCTAAGATCAACTGCGCGCAGCTGATCTCATAACTGGATATCGTTTAACCGACCCCTATCCCCACTGGCGTGGCCCTCGTCCCACTGAGCGATTTACCCCCCCACACGATGGGATGTATGCCGTCTCCCCCGGGTTTCAGGGGGTAAATCTCTACCTCGGCGGCGGGGGGAAGGGTAGGTTGGTAGGAGGCTCAATTGGGGTTGGGGTCGGTTAGCCGATACTGCATAACCTCCTCCACTTTCCCTGTCCTCCCCCACCACCCCCGACGTCGCGATTTCTTCCCAACGGCGGCCCTGGATGTGTGAACCTCTTCCCCGGGATCAGCTACTTCGATCCGGCTATGTTGTACTGAGCTGTTTGTTCGCTCCAGAAGACCAATGAGGGATTGTGGAGCCTGGGAACGGCCGAAAACGTTCCGTCGTCGTCGTCGCCCGTGGGGAGGGCTTCATGGATCCAAGTCCCAGAAGCCCTTTTCGGAACCTGAATTAGAGGCTGTTTGCGGCGTTCCGTCGTCGTCGTCGTGGTCCATATTAAGGGCCTGATGGATCATGCTCCTGGCAAGCCTTCCGTGGACATGATTTTTGGGAGTGTCTTTGGGGCCTGCTTGGGGCGTTCCGTCGTTGTCGTCGCCTCTTGGGGAGGCCTCTTGAAGGCGCAAGGAATGATGTCCCCGGAAGGCTTGTTGGCAAAATGAATATTGGAAGTGTCTTAGAGCGATGCGTGGGGCGTTCCGTCTTCATCATAGCCTCTTGGAAGCCATGTTGTGGGCCTGATGAATCATGTTCCTGGCAGGCCTTCTAGGAACATGATTTTTGGGCGTACTCCTGTCTTGGAGGGCTGTTGATGGCGCTGCGTCATTGGCGTCGGCCATGCCTGGGGCCTGATGAATCATGTTCCCACAAGGACTTCTGGGAGCATGATATTTAGACATGTCTTAGGGGGGTGCTTGGGCCGGTCCGTCGTCGTCGTCGTCGCCTCTCTGAAGAGCCATGTTGGGAGCCCGATGAATCATGTTCCCGCAAGGACTGCTGGGAACATGAATTGTGGGAATGTTTTGGGGGGGGCCTGATTGGGGCGTTCCGTCGTCGTCGTCGCCCATGTTGGGGCGTTCCCTCGTCGTCGTCGGACACGATGATCGCGTACCTTTAAAAAACCTGGGCGGGAAACCTGTGAAAGACCGAAGAGGACGAGGAGGAGCAGGCAACGAGGGGAAGAAAAATGCAGGAAGATGGTGCAGTCAGGTGATATTACAAATATCATCATCCGATGGACCCCCTCCTGGTCCCTCCGGGGCCTCCCCCTGGCCGCTCAAATTATCGAAGACGCCTACGGCGAATCACCGCCGCCCCCTGCCTTTTTGGAAGCGCCTATGTGGCCGAACGTTGAGGCCAGACCTGCCAAGCTATCGGACCACGTGTTCCCCGAATCGGTTTGGAAAGCCTTCGGGGAACACGTGGGCATCTTGAAGGTCATCTTGGCCGTCTTGGAGGCCTCTTGGGCAAGCTTTGGGCGATCTTTGGGGCTTTTTGGGCCGTCTCGGGCCAGCTTCGAGCCAACTTCGGCCATCTTGGTGGGTTCCTGGCACGTCTGAAGCCGTCGGAAGCCGTTTGGGGGGCCTCTATGGGCCGACTTGGGGCCCGCTTGGAATGCTCCAGGGCCGTCTTGGAGGCCATCTTGGGCGTCTGGGAGGCCATCTTGGGCGTGTTGGAGGCCTCTTGGGCCCTCTTGGGGCCCTCTAGGGGCCATCTTGGAGGCCACTTGGGCCATCATGGGGCTTTCTTGGGGGCCTCTTGGGCGATCTTGGGGGCTTCTTGGGCCGTCTCGAGCCGTCGGAGAGCCGAAAAGGCGCAAATGCCAGAATCCTTCAAAAACCAAGGAAAATTCAATGATTTTTTTTTTATTTTTTTTGTTTTTTAATTTGGCCGTCTATTCGGACTCTCCTGAGGCCTCTTGGAAAATAAAAAAAAAAAAAAAAAATAAAAAAAAAAGAAAAAAAAAAAGAAAACAAAAAAATAAAAAGAAGAAAAAAAAAAAAAAAAAAAAAAAAAGGCCTCGAATTTGGGCCGTCTGGGAGGCCTCTGGGGGGCCTCTTGGGCCGTCTTGGGCCGTCTTGGACTCTCATTGGCCGTTTTGGAGGCCGTCTTGGACCATCTCGGGCGGACTTGGAGGCCATCTTGGGCCATCTTCGCAATTTTTTGAGGATGTCCCGAGCGAAACGGGCGTTTTTTGGAGGATTTGTTTCCGGATTGAGGTCCTTTCGGCTTCCTCCCGGGACCCCGGCGGGACGTGCCGGAGCCCACTGGGGGAGTTCTTTTGGAAAAAGAACCAAAACCAAAACCTGAAACATCCAGCACGCCGTGCACCCCTGCAAGCAGGGGGCGGCGGATCTAGGGGCCTTCGGCCCATCCTGCCTCTTGGAAACAATTTCGAAGCCTCTCGGGGCCGGTTTTGTCGGCCTCTCGGTGCCTCCTGGGAATTGATTAATCGAGCGGAATCCCAGAATTTTCGATTCGTTGTCCCCCCCCTGGGCCCCTCTTGGGGCCGCCTTGGAGCTCTCTGGGCCCTCTTGGGCCCTCTTGGGCGCCTCTTGGGCCGTCTTGGCGCCCCCTTGGACCGTCTGATGGGGCCTCTTGGGAGCTTCTCTTGCCAATTTTTGTTCCCCTGAAGAAATACGGTGACTGTGCAGGGTTTTGCCTGACCGGGCATAGCCTTCGGCAAAGATCGCTGCTCATACTCGCCAGCCCAACGGGCCAGAGGCGTGCTAAACTCTCCAGTAACATGCTAACAGTATTCTAGTTCGCGCGCGCGTGGCGGCCCCTGGGGGTCCCGGAGCGAAAAGTACCCCCGGCAACTCCCAGCAAATCCAGGCCAGAGATGCCGGATCTCTTTGCCGCGGGCCTGGAGGCTCTGGAACCGTGCAGGAGCAGCCCAATGAGTCGACAAATAGGTAGCAGGCTCTACGGCCAGAAGCCATCAGCGTCCCAAGGCGGCCCAAGATGGCCTCACGATGGCCAACGATGCCCCCAACACCCCCCTCGAGGCTTCCAAGAGGCGTCCCGAGCGGCAAAAATCATGGATTTTCTTTAGGTTCTTGGAGGTGTTCAGCTTTCTCACCTTTTCAGCTTTCTCACCTTCTCACCTTTCAAGAGGCCTCCAAGACCGCCCCAACACAGCCCAAGAGGCTCCCAAGATGGCCCCACGATGGCAAGACAGCTCCAAGACGGCCCAAGTGGCGGCCACACGGACCTGAAAACGCCCCAAGACGGCCCCTAAGAGGCCGGAGACGCCCCCAAATCGCCCCAAGTCGCCCAAGATGGCCTCAAGACGGCCCAAGAGGCCGCCAAGACGGCCCAAGAGGTTTCCAAGAGGCTTCCCAAGAAGTCCACACGAGACAAAAATCATTGACTTCCTTTGGGTTAATGTAGGTTTTTAGCCTTCTCGCCTTTCGGCTTTCCGACGCTCCGAGAGGGCCCAAGAGACCGCCCCAACACAGCCCAAAAGGCTCCCAAGATGGCCCCACGATGGCCCAAGACGGCTCCAAGACGGCCCAAGTGGCGGCCACACGGGCCCGAAAACGCCCCAAGACCGCCCCAAAAGGGGCCGGAGACGCCCCCAAATCGCCCCAAGTCGCCCAAGATGGCCTTAAGACGGCCCAAGAGGCCGCCAAGACGGCGCCCTCGTCCCCAAGAGGCGCCCAACATCTCCAAGAGGCCCCCCAAAGGCCCCCAGAGAGCCCCGAGAGCCCCAAGAAGCCCCCTACATGATCCCAGGGCGCTTCCAAGAGGATCCCAAACTGCCGCCCAGGGACCCCCCGAGAGCCCTCCGAGGAGACCCCAAGACGCCTTCACGAGGACTCTGACCCACAACCAAGGCGCGGCGGCGGCATCGACCGAAGGCCACCAGATGGTGTGAGTTTGTAAGTGTGAGACGTGTAACTGCCCCGCCCCCCCCCTCTCCCCCTCCCCCTCCCCCTCCCCCTCCCCCTCCCCCTCACCCCCTCTCTCCTCCTCCACCTCCTCCTCTCCTCTCCTCCCTCCTCCTCCTCCTCCTCCCTCCTCCTCCTCCTACCTCCTCCTCCTACTCCTCCTCCCCTCCCCCTCCCCCGCCCCTCCTCCTCCTCCTCCTCCTCCTCCTCCGCCTCCTCCTCACTCCTCCTCCTCCTCCTGCCTCCTCATCCTCCTACCTCCTCCTCCTCCTCCTCCACCGTACCTCCTCCTCCTCCTCCTCCTACCACCCTCCCCGAGTGCCCGCGCTGACGCCACGAACCCGTCACGACCCCCAAAGCATCCCGCCCAAAAACGTCTACACAAAAGACTGCTCCGCCTCCGGCTTCTGAAAACCCACCACCACTCCAGCACCCAGACCCCTCTTCCTCCTCCTTCTCCTTCGTCTCATCTTTTCTCCTCCATGTGGCACCAAGGGAAGGTTCCAGGTGGCGCCAATGGAAGGCAATGGCCGCCTTCAGTGGACCGATCGCCCTCCTCCTGCTCCTCCTCATCTTCCTCCTCCTCCTCCTCCTCCTCCTCCTCATCCCCATCATCCCGGTCCTCCTCCTCCTCACTTCCCCCGACATCTTCCCCACCCCGCCCTCATTGAAGCAGCTGGCGCTGCTCTGCGTCGGTCGATGCCTCACGATCCCACAGAAGCCCGGCGATCGTCGGGGTGGCGTCGTCCTCCGACTTGCTGCGCGGCGCACAGCACGCGCTGTACATGATGAGGGAGCCGCACGCAATGAACGACAGCGCATAAAAGAGAAGTGGCGCCGTCAGGGAACTGACATCGTCAACGTGCATAGCAAGCATCCCGCAACCAAAAGCCAAAGTTTGAATCACCTTGGTGGTGATGACGGCTGCGCTCATCGTGGCGTCTTGGTAGGGTGGCTTGATGGCAAAGACGAGCGCCGTCGCGGCGCACACCGTCATCGAAAAAAACATATTCCGCGACGGCGTGTAGGTGGTTTCCGTAGCAATGATCACCAGGGCCAACCGCGAAAAGAGGTCAGCATACGCAGTCCACTTCATGTGCTCCGGATTGGGCTGAAGCGGACCGAAATTCGTGCAGTGTGCGCGGCGCTTCCTGCCCCGGAGCCAAGCCGACGGATGGCAAAGGGTGCCGGGTTCCACGTCATGGACGTTCCCCTCCGCGCCTGTCAATGGAAGGAGCATGGCAAAATAAGCGACCCCTCCGACTACGGCAAAGACGGACAACAACATATGAAGTCCGGTGTAGCAAGTGATAGCTGGAGCCACGTCGAGCACGCGGTGCTCCTTTACGACATGGCAGTCCACCACCGACGCCAGCTGCTTGACCAGTGGGACCACACACAATCCACTGAAAATCTTCACTGCGAACGCGAATTTACGATAGTACGCCGAACCAACATACGCAAAAGCTGCTGACACGGCGCAGCACGCCTTGCAATAAAATTGAAACTCTGGTGAAACACTAGGAAGGGTGAAATCTGCCGACCCCTTGGGGATCATCGGCGTGTGAGCGGCTTTCCCCTCCCAGAACCCCTCCCCCTGGAGCCTGGTCCGGCTGATTTGGAGGGGGGGTCCGTAAGGTGCGGGATTCAATGTGATTTGACGGTGGTGTTTACAAGCATACACACTGTAAAAAATGTGCATACGAATGTATGTTGTAGGAATGTGTGTGTGAACACACATAATGTGTGTACATGTACATAGTCATAAATTTACATACAAACACACACACACGTATATATATAGACACATGTGACACGAACCATATACGCGTTATGCGTACTCATCGCTAAACGTAACGTGTTATATATATATATATATATATATATATATATGTGTGTGTGTAAGTGGCTGAGCCCGTGTATATACGCATTGATGTATAAATATTATCACGGCCAGATAGTGCAACCCACGGCGAACAATACTTGCACACACCTCCGTTACATATACGTGTACGTGTACGACCATATTGTTATATGTATGCGTGTACATAAGCGTACATACAATCACACATGCATATCCGAGCATCACATATCGATGTAGTAATGATACAAGCGCCTTGCGTACGCGAAGTTATGCGTAATGTAACCATGGGTGTTTGGTAGAGAGTGGGAACGGGAACGAGATATACAAACTTGTGCAAACACACACACACACACTTATATATATATATATATATATATAGGAACGTAACACTACATTGCAATATTCCAGAAACGGCATTGCACACACCTGTGTTACATGTATTGAATGCGGTGTCATGCTTAATGTCGTTTGAATTTACAACGCAGTATCCGCACATATTAAACACGCACACGTATTTTATATACATACATACAGTTGTATATGCAAACCGCATATTAGAAATGGGGGTGGCGCCGACGGGGCACGCCGACGGGCGGGGCGCAGGCGGGGAAGAGGGGCGCGAGCAGGGCGGGCGAGGACGGGGCGACAAGGAGCAGGAGCAAGGGGGCGGGCTCCAGGAGCAGAATGTACTTTTGCCGCTGAACCCCGAATAGAACCATATCCACCCAAGACAACTACAGTCCGAATGCCAGAAACGCATTCTGGACCCGACCATGCCCAATCAGGCACCTCTAACTGTAAGCGACGGGGGCGGGCAGCGCAACGCGCCGGGGATCGCTGCGCGAGCGCCCCGGGCCAGCGGCAGAACGCCATCGGCCAGGGGCTAGGCCAGCAGTTGTGCTAACATGCGCCACGTGCCAGTCACAGGTCGCCCAGTGGCTGCGCGGCACCTCGCGCCACTCCGACCCGTAAATTGCATGCGCATCGCAATCTTCACCTGCAAAGAGGGCTGCGTCCATCGGCATGCCTGGAGAGAACGCATCGCTCTGGAGGCACGTTGGCACTTGCATCTGCGGGCCCGCAGGGCATAAAACATCTGCGCGCCCTCGCTCGGGCTGGGTCTCTCAACTGGCCGTGGACCAGGGCTTATCGCGATGATCCCTCCCTGGATCTCCTCGTGGCTTGGCGGAACAACGATGTGCTCTCGCACCGCGAGCTCAGGCGGAAAATCTCTGCCTGGGCCATGCTGGAGGCGCCATGGCGCGCGAAGATGCCTGAGCGCCGCGCGGAAATCACTCTCGCGTCGGAGTCTGGTGCCAGGGGCCCTGCCAGCGCAAATGCACCCGAATCGCTTTCGCTGGCGCCTGGCGGCAGCTGGCCCCAGAACTGCCGGCGGTTCGTCCTGTTAGCCGCCCGGCGTCGCGCCAACGCTAGTCGCGAACTCTGCCGTCGGCCCGAGCTCGCGCGGACTCGCCGCGGGGCTGCGTTAACGACGTCTTCAAGTTGTGCTCCTGTAGCCGCTGCTAGCCCTCCGCGGTCTTGTGCAACGTGAGCGCCCCGATTGGGGTCCGATCCGTGCTGCAACCATCTTTGGGTATGTTCACGCGGAGGTTCTCGTGGACTTGCAGCATGTTAGCTAGCATCCCATCTGTTGCCAAGGTCAAATCCAGTTTCGATGGCCCTGGCGCGGATTGGCCTGTCGTTCGCCTTGCGGCCAGCGGTGATTCCGTCGAACTCCTTGCTGATTCGCATCTCGCTGGTAACGTTGATGCCGTGTCCCTCAGGGGTCTAGGCGCGGCTGCTCAGCTCGGCCTCTGCCCCGACCGCGCGGTCGGGCAGCTCCTCGCGCGAAGGCGGCCGCGCAACTCACGGCGCAGGCTGCCAAAGCAGGACGCGGTTTCAACGGATGGGGCGCGAGGCCCTTGGGCGAACAACGCCATGCATCGCCGTGGCGTACTTGCGGGCCCTCTTGGGGCCCATGGGGGCCTGCCGGGGGGCCCCTGGGGCCTCTCGGAGCATCTGGGGCCGCCCCGGGGCGCCCATTGGCCCGTCTGGCGCCTTCGGGGACCGTCCTGGGGGCAACTCAGGGCCGCCCTGGCGCCATCTTGGAGCGCTTCTGGGCCGTCTCGGGGCTCTCTCGGAAGCCCCCCGACCGATCTCGGGGCCGTCTTGGGCCGACTTGGGGGCCCCATGGGCTGCCCGGGCGCTATCCCGGAGGCCCCGCGGGGCCGCCCTGGGCGATCGGAGAACCCACTCGCGCGGGAACTTCTGAGAGCATGCCCGAATCTACCTCGCGATCCGCCGCCGCGTCTGCGCGGGGAGAGCGCGCCCGCATGCCCCCGTGGCCCCGTTCTGGGAAGGCTATCTCCATGGTCAAGAGGCTCTGGTGACGGACTCACGACAGCCCATGAGACCATCGAAGCGGCCCAGGATGAATCCAGGAGAGCTCGAGGAGGCGTTGGAGTATGATGGGGCAGGTTGAGCAGAGTAGAGTAGGGTAGCGTAGAGTCGAATTGAGTAGCGTAGATTGGGGCATGATAGAGTAGGGCGGAGTAGACTAAGACGAGAAGGTAGTCGCAAAGACAATTAGGAGGGAGGAAAATAGAGTAGGGTAGAATAAGGTGTGGGCAAGGCAAGGTCGGGCAGCGGCTCACCCTCCTCCTCCAATCCACCCCCCCCCGCCCCCCTCACCGTTCCTGCGAAGCGGAGGGGGGGGGGGGGGGCGGCGACCGCGCCCGCCCAAGGGCGCGCTGCAATGCATCGATCACACTCCATTGATTGGACCACGTCGGTTTCAGGAGCGACCAGATAAATTTCCGCGCTCACCAAGGTGGCCCAAGCTGGCCTCCGGCACGGCCCGCGATAGCCGAGCGTGCCCGACGCGTCTTGAGCAGCACTCTGAGGAGGAGCGCCGTGCGGATGATGATGTTGTTTACGGCGATGCTGTCGATGGTGCTGGCGATGGCGACGCTGCGCGGCTGTTTGCCGAGCGGCATGGACAGCGGCCCATCGGCCCGAACAGTCGGGGCGATCTCGAGGCGACTCCAGCCGACCACTGCTGGTCAGCAGCGGAGGAAACTTGCGCTGTTCTGCAAACGTGCCAAGTGCCCATTATCAATCGCTGTCCTCTGCCTATGCGTCGGCGCCCACCCCCCAGCGCCCCCAATCTTGAACGTGGCCGAGTAGGCGGTCTGGAGCCGAAGGGCGTTCGGCCTGGCCGGGGCGACCTGCTGCTCCATGCCGCCGAAGACGTGGCTGATGACTTCGGGCATGGCCTCCATGGTCGGGTGCGCGATCGCACTCTGGGCGAAACGCGTCGGCTCGACGCGGGGGGCGCTGGCCCCAGCGGCGGGGGGGCCGTCAGACGCGGCGCCGACGGCGCCGGCCGCGGCGGCGCCCGCCGCGGCCTTCCCCGCGGCCGAGCCCTGGGACCTCGGGCTCCGCGCTGGCGGAAGGGCAGCGTCGTCAAGCTGGGGGTGCCCGGGGCCTGCTGCGGAGGGTGGTCGGGGGTGCCTGGCGGCGCCCAGCCTCGCGGGGGGCGGTCGGGGGCGCCTGGGCTCGCGAGGCCACGCGCACCTGACGGGGTGACATCGCGCCTGGGCGAAGCGAAACCGCTGCGGAACGGGCCGTGGAGCCGAGGGCGCCGCGCGCCTGCCGCGGAGCCGAAACAGCTGCGGAATGGGCGAGGGGCGGGGGGGCGGATTGGTTAGCTTCATCGTCGCGCCCCTTATACTCGCGCATCGCATCTTCGCTTGCCTCTGGTTTCATAATTTCGCGCCTCTTATATTTGCACCTTTTAGTTTCGCGCCTCTGATATTCGCGCTTCCTTGCCCTCGCGCCTATAATCTCTGCGCGCGTTTGTTCTCGCGCCCCTCGTCTTCGCGCCTTATGTTTCTTCGCCCCTCTCGCATTGCCTTGCCCCCGGCTTTATCTTCGCGTCTCTTAACTTGACAAGTTCTGATCTTAACGTATATTGCTTACTGGCGTGTTCGCGTCGCGCCTCTATCTCTATTCTTATCTTCGCGCAGATGGATGTTCGGGAAAACGGGGCGATGGCACTTGGTGCCCCCCTTCTCTGGGCGCGCCATGATCGTGGACTGCGAGTTTTTTCGGGCCGCGTCCGCGCGCGGAGCCGCGGCGACCCATCCGGGCGCGCGACGCATCAGACGCGGAACCGCGGCGATCAGCCCGGGCGCGCGATACATATATATATATATATATATACACACATACATACATACATACATACATACATATACATATACATATGTATATATATATACATACATACAAACATACATACATACATACACAACTATATATATATACACATATATATATACATATATATATATGTATTTTTACACTTTGTATATACATACATACATAAATTCAGAAATACATACATACATTCATACATAATA